AACCCTAACCCCTAAACCCCGAACCAAAAGTTGTACGGATGTTTAGCTGAGATGCGCTTGTGGGATTCTCAGCCATGGACTGGGCTGTCCGAGGGCTCGGCAAAACCTGGGGTTTGAAAGGACTTTCCGTGTAAAGAGTTTAGGGTTTAGGGTTTAGGGTTTAGGGATCAAGGTTTAGGGTTTAGTGTTTGGAAGCCAGAGGCCCCCCCATTGTTTACTGGTGGCTAGCAGGGAATAAGGAAATATATTCTACTTATTTAATTCGAACATAATATATTCCTTTATTCCCTACTAACCCCCCAGAAGGTTAGGTGAAGGCCCTAGCAGTCTTGAAACAAAAGGAACAAGCAGACAGATGGTCTCAACCCCAAAGAGAGATTGCACTTCAAGGGTATGTGGGTGGTTGTCCAAGTTATGGTCCCTTGTTGGATCCCTACTATAATACGGCACCTAAAATTTAGGGTACCTAAAAAGGGACCATCATTTTGACAACCACCCATGTACACCTCAACTTTGGAGTCCCAAAGGCTGCATGACGCACACGTAACGGTGATGCTTGGATTCATGTCACCAGGTTTCACTTCTGCTTTGATTTTCAAAGTTGATGAGAAGAACAGCCTTGCAAACGGTTTCCATTTTCTTTTCCATTATCCGAATATTTTACCCCTAGGAAGCCCTGTACTATAGTAGTTCTATAGTGTAACGTGGCACTGCCAGACGTGGGTTGTTGATCCTTTCTGCAGGAACGCAGCAACTCTGCACCTTTGTGAAGCTCTTCCGAGCCAGGCCTCTTACTTTATACAGGGGTTATATAAGGGTTACATAGGTGGTATATAGGGGTTATATACGGAATAATGGAAAGGAAATGGAAACTACTATAATGGGATGGGAGAAAGTACTATACATTGTTTGGGGTTCAGGGTTCATGGTTCAGGGTTGAGTCTAGTGGTTCTTTTTTCTGTGGGGGTGATTGCGGAATACATGGCCTGCGTCTTACGTGAAGGCTTTATGTTGAGGGGAGTGGAAATGGTCAGTAGCAGGACACCTTCTCTTGACACTAAACCCTGAATCCTAGATAGACTTCGCGCGTTGCAGAAGGCAAGAAACCTCGCCGCAGGTGTGAGTGGTCTCCAGGGCTTTCATTCTAGCTTGTTCTTGTGGCATAAGTGAATCTCCCTGTAATCCCGACAGTGCTTCCTTCACCTATATGATCTGATGATCGCTTGATCCTGCGCTAGCTCCTGCAAGAACCAAAGAATCAGGGATGCCGATGGGGCAACGACCACGACGTGGTCTTTGGAGTCAGAAGCCCAAGCCTTCGTGGACTGGGTGATCGTTGAAGGCGGGTTCTGGACTTGTTGTTCGAGCGCTTGTCTTGCATCACCAATTTGTTAATTGGCTTTTGCGGAGCTTCCCCGCTTCGGAATTCCTACATGACAGCGGGTCATCAACGAGAACTGCTTTCGCAGAGCTTGAACTGTATAGGATTGTTGCATGCTCTTGCTGAAGCTTGTTCAAGATATACAGGCTTACGCCCTACATCAGGTTTTGCCACTGTGGAATCCTAGATTCGCAGCTTGGAAGGTGGCATCTTGCCGAAGGCGTGTCAAGTCCTGGCTGAAAGACCCGACATCGTCCAGGATCCGGCAAGTGGCACAAGCATTGTTGCGTGTTTGGGAGATCTGGAATTGCTCCTTTGAAAGCTCAAGCCTGCCAGGAAAAGGCCTATCGGCAGGCTTTGTCGCGCTGCCAAGTCAGCTGTGAGCCAGTGCCCTTTGAAGAGTGCCTTGATTGCACTGTGCCGGTCCAGTGCTGTAAGTACGTACAGGTGCCCTGCTGTTTAGGACTGTGAGTGGCGGCGGATTTCTGTTCCCACTTCACTCTTTGCATCCATTGGCAGAAGTTGCGAGGATTCAGAGCATCGTGAGCTGCTGGGCGTGATGATAAGCTGGTGTTTTGACGTTTGCTGGCAGTCTTTTCAGACCCTGATGCCTCAGCTAGCTTGGTGTTGACCATGGGCCCCCCTGCAAGTGGAGGTTGTAGCATCCTTCCAAGCAGAACGTTGATTGCAAGGGCTCCTAATCGTGGCACGTTGCCAGATGACGCTGGGCTCTCCGCGTGCGTGCATTCTCTGGGCGGCCTGGGGGAGACCATCTTCTGGGCGCAACTAACATGGGTATGAGATAGACCACCTGTAAAAAAGCAACCATGAGGCGTTTTAGTTGAGTCAAAATCCAGGCACCGGAAACTGTCAGGTGACTATGCTCGAAGAATTTCATGGTTTTTTTTTGCAAATAGATTTCGGTTTACTTGTATCGACACCAGGTCATAGCGCCGCTCCAAAAGTCCTTGAGGCATAAGCAGGCTCTGAAGCTGGGTGTGCGTCCACAAGGGTGTGTTGTGAGTGAGCGTCGGATAGAGGTCATGCAGTTTCCGTTGATGTGTGCAGTTGCGTTGGCTGATTTCAGTGGCTCTGCATGTGGAGTGCGCGCTGATGGTTTCAGGCAGTCGCAGAGGTGCCAGATGCATTTGCGTGATCCTGTTGCTCCGCTAGGCCCTCAAATCTGAACTCGAGACCCTCATCCCTCCCGCCCGAGACTGAAATCCTCAAACTTAAATCCGGTCAGAATTCAGTGCCCAGTGCCCAAACAAGGAAACTTTCTGCCCGGATGCGTACAGGAGAAACCATTATCGACTGGCAGTGTCGGCCAGGTGGCTGGGTGGTTCTTCTCAGAATCCAAAGAAGACCGAGGGTTCAAAGTTCAGAGTGCGGTTTGACCCCATGTAATGTTAATTTGGCACCCCAGTTTTGAGAGCCATTAACCTGTTTCCTGCTGTGTCAATGTGATGAGTGGCAAGTGCAACAGTGGGGTTTATCAAACTTGGCAGCCTTCTTTACGCAACGGCTCCTCGCAGGGATTGGATTGTACGTTTTTGAGAGGCACCAAGATCAGGAGATAGAATTGACTGGGAGGCGTGTTAATGAAGTTGCTTTGCCCGGATTGTCCTTACACCAGGGGTTCCGACATCACCTCGGTTTTCTTGCAGAGTCAATTCGTCTCTTTTTGTTTCTTGGGCTTCTCGTCGCCCAGGTGCACTTCTGCGGTGACGGACACGTTGTGAAGGTGAGCCGCAACTTTGCTGATTCTTTTCCAAATCATGTTGTTTTGGCTTTCTTGGACCTCCGAGCCGTGGCAGTCAGTTTGTACCTCATGGAGCATTCGTGCCGAAGGTGTCTCTGGCGAAAAAGAAGCGTGAGATGCAGCGGCAGTTCTCCTGGCTCAAGGTGCGCGTGGGTGTTGCTTACAACCTCACAAGGTGACAACAACACATGTCGGGGTTCGCTTGCATTTCTCAATATGTCATGATTAGACCTTCAAAACTTGAGAGATCCTCATCAAGAAATTTGGCAGGCATTGGTAAAGCTACCCGGCTTGGATAAGTCGATTCTGGCAGACATCCAGTACGTGGCGGGGCCGATAAAGGACTGCGCGGAGTTCTTCAACCACATGCCGGGAGACATCCATGTCAGAATGGGTCCTTAGGCAGCTGTGTCACCAGACAATTTAGATGACGTATAGCCGGCTTCACAAAGCTGATTAGATCATCCTCTGCACTCGGCTTTACATGGTAGTTTCCCAGCATGAGAGGACCCCACTATCGACGCCAAAATGTTTTAATCCTCATTATAGGGACCACCATAATAAAATAGCCCCCGTATTCCTTTCAGGCATGGTGACAAAAATGAGCAAATCGATGGTGACCATAAGATGAGCTACAAGTTCAATATTCAAGCTGTGGTTCTAGACCCCCTTCGTGGGTAGTTGCCCAGATATTATATAACTATAATCTAAATTCCTCAAAGGTTGTTATATAGGGGATGATATAGGGGACTATTTTACTACTACTACTACTACTACTACTACTAGTACTACTACTACTACTACTACTATTACTACTACTACTACTACGACGACTACTAGTACTACTACTACTACTACTACTATACCCCCCATATAATCCCAGTTTCCATCTCATTTTCAATTTGATTCTACATTATTGGGGGATAATATTCGACTATAATGTGCCTTAGGAGGATGGGATCCTTGTCATGGGGACCCCAAACTCAACATGTTTGAGAAGCGCTCATATTTGTAGGCGGCCCGGCATCTGAGAAACACGCAAACAACCCTTCTGTGCCCAAAAGTTGATATGGCAAAATCTGGGTTTCAGGTGCGGGGCTCCTATAAGTAAAGAATGAGCTGCTCCTTTGTTCACTTGAGATGAATACCATGATGTCATGCCCAGATGGCATTTCTTGAAACTCACTTAGATGGCTGCATCCATAATTTCAGTACTACTAGTACGACCTGCAATATTAACAGTATTAATAGTACTTATAGTATTAATAGTACTAATGCTATTAATAGAATTAATAGTACTAATGGTAATACCAGTATTAACGATATTAACGGAGGATCATATACTGGCTGAGTTCGACCTCCGTGGCGAGCAGAAGCGCCTTCGCCTGGCTGTTGCTGCAATTACCCGTGCACGAGCAGTGCTGGGGGAGGATGGCAACCTGGTAGTTTCCCAAAATAAGGGGACCCCAATGTAGACCCCAAAATACTATAATCCTTCCAGAAGGTACCCATAATTTTGGGAATCCCCCAACCTGCTGTCAGGATTGTGTGAAGATTTATGTAGCGAGTGTTCGGAGGTTATGTTGGGAGAGTGGATGGAGTGTATATAGGGATTCCTCAAATGTGCGTATGGCCGTGGTGTGTGGTGCCGTTTAGTATTGGATAAGACGGGATTGTTTTGAAGCACTCAAAACTTCTTGCGCCTGTTTGTGGTACAGAAAGGATGACCATGTTACAGAGCATGCACAAGGATGCAGTTTTGCACAAGCCGCATCCTGTTCTTAAGTGCAGACCGCACTATCGTCTTCATAGCGTCATCTGTGGCCAGGAGCTTGTCGACTTTGAGATCCGCGTGCCTGCAGTCTTGCCCGAGAGCACCCAGCATGCGGGATGTTGTGAAAGATACAGTAGCACGAGGAACTAAGTGGTAGTTTCCAAAACAAGGGGACCCCAATATAGACCCCAAAGTATGATAAGCCTTATCATATAGGGGCTCCCAAAAAGGTAGCCCTAATTTTTTTCAGGACATTCCGAGTGGGGCTGTATGGTGCAGGTCCTTATCATGACGCGAGAGTCTGGCACGTTGTTCAAGGATATGCTGAGCCAGGACGCTGCGACAAGTAATCTGCATACAAGTGGCCATATTTGTGCCAAGATATTGGGACCTAAAGGGGATTTTGCCCAGGCCATACTTTTTTTAGGGGTCTTTGGACTGTTCCAGTCTGTGTACACACTCAGTCCCAAGGGGGGCTATACTCAATTTCTTGCTATCTCGGGCCAGGCACCTTTGAGAATTTTTACCCAAACAGGATTCGCCATTGCCTCGGGCCACCAAGCATACGTGGCTCCACAGAGTGCTGCTGCGTGGCCTGATTTGAGAAACAGCACTTGCAAGTATGGTGACACTGACTGCATCCAGTACTTTTGATGCTGGATGTTCCCCTGGCAAATTGTAGTTTCACAAAACAAGGGACCCCGATATAGACAACAAAAACTATAGTCCTTATTATAGGGACCCCAAAATGGTGCCTGGAATTTTGGGAAACGCCCGAATAGCTTCTAGGAGTTGCTGTAGTTGTTGTAAGATAATCATCAGAAGCTGCAGTGATGGTAACGCAGCTGCCCCAGAAGGTCTTTACCTTATTGGATGTTAGTAGGGCATACGGGAATACATCACACAGGGATCATATTCCTTTATTCCTTACTAAGAACCAGTAAGTTTCCTGAATATTGCGGGTTCCACAGAGGCAAGCCTCGGAGACTTCTTCCCCATTGATTCTTGAGGCTTGGGTTTAGTGCACTTCCTAAGACCCACCTAGACCCTCCAATGTAGTACCTTTTTGATAGTCCTGATAAGAGCCCTAGCCAAAAATCCATACCAAACCCAAAAAGGAACTACATTGGAGTGCCTAGGTAAAGCCTGAAAAACCCAGGCAACTCTGGGGCGCCCAGACCTTGGGTCTTGGATGGTTTCATAGTGCCGCCTGGTGCTTTTTTTTGATTTTATGGGTCTCCATCCGAGCCAGTTAATGGAGGTTCACGGGCAGTATGCTGCAAGTGTGTGATAAATTCCGCGCAGCCTCGCTGTTGATCACTTGAGAGCTGGACATGGGAAACTGATTGTGGAAGCATGTTTTGCAGATCTTCATGGGCATGCTTGCAGTAAGTGGCATCATGGGGACCCAGTTGAGTTGTGCTTGTATACCCCAAAGCCAAGGATCCGCATCCCGGCAATCTGATGATCTCCGAGGAGCTGCAATATAAATCCTGCGCGCCTGAGTTTTCATCACTTCCAACATTATCAGACGCCCACCCGCTAACCTTAAGATATGTCCCCAAATAGTCTCTTGCGAGGAATGTTTTTGGTATTGTGGGCTTCCTGGGAGGGGACGATGATGAGTCTGAATAAAGGACTCCAAAGATCAATCGCGACTATCCCTCCTACATGGGCCGTAATCAAAACTGCTTAAAAGGGGGGTCTATAGGGGATTATATAAGGAATATTTTCGGGTGATTAATGGGGATACTAGGAGTTTAGACTATAGCTCACATGAAGCATGACATGGCATGTCGGGAAGTCGGCGTTCTCAAGAATCCTGGGAGATCCTCCGCATGCAGCAGGCTTGACAAGGAGGTTAGCAGTGGTGAGTCGGTACCAACATAGAAGTTTCCCTAAATCAGGGGGGCCCTTTCTGGTGTCCCAGTTGTAAGGACTATAATATTTTGTGGTCTATATTGGGGTCCCCGCATTTAGGGAAATTACCATACGAGGCATTGAACTGCCATCGACCAGACAGCATATATTCTCGGGCCGCCAGAACCCGCAAAACAGCCGCATTTAACAACAATTTGAACCCTGAAGCCCAGCATCCAAAAGAAGTACACCCCAACTTTGCGCACGTCTTGAAATCATGGAGCACAGGACAACGCCCTGGTTTTGCTGGACTGGGGCTCGGTCACTGTGCTGAGCAGCCAACAGCTGGAGGAGGGATTCCGCCCACTCTTAAGGGCCTCAGACCCATAGGAGCTACAGTCTAAACTCCATAAAGGGGGTTATATGGGATTATATAGGGGAGTATTATAGGGGTCATTAAGGGGGATACTAGGAGTTGAGGCCTCAGACCCATAGGTTTCACACATTCAAGTACACTGACGCGCTCTTCCAGCCCATCCGTTGTAGGAAGCCAATTTCGAATCCCTGAAAACTTCAGTTTCCATTTGATTTTCCGTTCTCGTTTCCATGTGATTCTCCATCATAGGGGTCATAATCTACCTAAACCCTACATCATCCGTATACAAACCCAAATAGCTTCGCCAGGACCTCCGTGAGCTCTTCCGCGCTTTGGGGCAACGCCCAGTCCAGGCCCGTCAGCGTTGCCATCAGTAGAAGAGTGGCAACAATGCGAAGTAAAGTAAAATAGAAACCATGTTACGCGGGGATAGACAGGGTTCAGGGTTCAGGGAAACAGCAACTAGGATTATAGTGGTTCATAGGGCATGCTGTACTAAGGTTTCTTAATCATAGTTACAAATACACTGGCTTGTTTCCCGTGTATAGTGTTGTTTCGGGCACCCTCGACAACTTCAGGGTTGAAACTTGCTGAGCAGCCTCCCAAGTCTCTAGATTTCCATTTTCTTCCACATGTCTTGCGCGGGCTTCTTTGTTAGTATCCAGGCCGTGATGACCAGGACCTGGATACAGCAACACCGCAAGCACAAAATGCCTTACTCGTTTTTGACAGGTGAGTGCTGCCACGTCTTCCTTGCGTCGTCTGCAGTTGAGGACCAAGAAGGCTTGAGTAGTGTTTGCGTGCAACACATTATACAGGAGTATGAAGGAGAAAGCTACTTGTTGTAGTGAACATCCGAGGCACCATGTCCACGTCAGCTATTCCCAGATAATCCCTATATAGCCCCAATATATACCCTATATAACCCATAATAGTAGTTTAATTTCTCCGAAATGCTCCGAACACAGGATACGGATGCTGGCTTAATGCAGCTCGCGGTGACCACCCTGGCCATGGAAGTTGTTGCTTTCCCCGAGGCCCGGAGAGCTTTCGACGGGGAAGCGAGGGAGTTCTAACAGTTTCTAACATGCAGCAAGAGAACTATTTTCTAGATTTTGCAGAAACTGGATCATGGATCCAGGCTCATGGGGACAGTAGTGCAAGCGACTGCTTAGGTGCAAGAAGCGCTGGGAGAGGAGGAGGACTTTGCAGCAGTTTAGCAGTGCAGCAGTGTCCTGGTTCCTCATGGGTGCGGCTGCATCCTGCTGAATTATGGTAATCACGCCAAGGACTTTCAAGGGAAATGATGAATGTTTTTACTGTAAGGGCCTATTGATTTAGATGAGGTGCTTATGGCATTGTTACATTCTGGTTCTACTTAGGATTATACGG